CCAGTAATTAGTACCATATATCGCGAAAACTAGCTAACTAGAGCCTTAACGGTATGATTTTTTTATTTTATTTATTTATTTTTTCTTCTGAAAAAGAAGGTAAGAGAAAGAGAGAGTGTCCAGAAACCACTTTAATAAGCTTCACTGGTAGAATCTTTAGACCTCCAACCGTACTAGAAACGAATCNAAGAGTATGTGCGACTCATATTTGTTGTGTGCACAATGGTAAGGAGGCAGATGCCGGACCACGTAAATCTCTGTGTTATTTTCTCTTGCTTTCTTAATTGTTTGATTCCTTATTATTCACCATAATTGTTGCACGATCACAACATAAACTCATTATAACATATCTCATGCATTTGGATTTAGTTCAATTAACATCCAATCTGATTATGATTTGATCTGAATTATAAGTTACGCTTCCCCGAAGAGAGCTCGAATCAATGAGATGAAAGATGGGATAAGAAAGAGAGGCTTAGCACAAAAGATCAATCATTGAGCCTTGGGTCACTACCGACTTGATCCCGTCATGTTTTTAAATTGAATTCTCTAATTTTAATAAATGCGGATAAAAACTGTGAATATAAAATCTTCACACATCTGAATCGAATTCAGATTGAAGTTTTTGAATTAGATTCAAGGGCGGATTGCTCAGAATCCAATCCGTTTGATAGATTGGCTCTTATTTTTAAACAAACAAGGAACTTAGGACTAAGTCAATCCCAATCATGCATTGATCAGATGGTTTTCTTTGTTTTTCTAAATAGCCTAATTACATAGCATACACTTTCATAAACCTTGGAGAAGTGGATGTCTTTGAAACATTGGTGGGGGGGTAAAAGTGATGATCAATTTTGGAATGGAAATATGTAAGGTTGCTGTGGGGTTAAGACAACCAGCTGGAATCCTACTATTGCCTTGTCGATATACCCCTGTCAAAAGATTGAGATACAGTGTCCTATGGAGATGTCCATCCATCCAGTAATTAGTACCATATATCGCGAAGGTAAGAGGAAGAGAGAGCGTCCAGAAACCACTCTAATAAGTTTCACTGGTAGAATCTTTAGACCTCCAACCGTACTAGAAACGAATCTAACTAGTGTGCATAGCGGTTAACAACTGATCTTCAATGTGGACTTCAAGACACAAATCTCCAACCTCAAAATAAGAAGTTTGATTGGTACCCTACTAGACCATCCCACCCGTGGTCTTAATGGTATGATTTATAACCTTGTACATAGATATGTATTTACAAGTAACACTTGCAAGTAAGATGGAGTACATCTGATTTTTTTATTGACCTCGTATGAATAAAAATCCCGCTCGTCGAGTCATTTTTTTATGCATTAATATTATGTAATTCCGAAAAGTACTAGCTAATTTTGCTTAAAGATTGTATTTTGCATATTTTTTATTGCTTATTTTTCTCTTTAGAAGGAATTTTCAAGTTTGAAATCTCTAATATAAAATAGAAGAAACTTCAATAAACAAATTAAATGATTTCAAATAAATTCATTCAACAGTCACTAACATTCCTCTCAAAATCATTCATATTAAATTTTTCTTCCCCCTCTCCCTCTCCCTCTCCATCTCCATCTCCATCTCCATCTCCTTCCAAATTCATCACTTCTCATTTATGTTATATTGTACCTTCAAGTACGAATTACCTCTAATTATGTTATATATAACAATAGATTATACACAAAAACTAATCCAACTCTTGCCTAGAAGTAAGTCCCCCATAATGAGAGACATGTAGTGGACTAGCAGTCATGTATTTTTTTTTCTCATTTCTTAAAATGGGTTATGGCATTAAAGAAAATGAGTATTATTTAAACCAATAATATGGAAATCTTGAGCAAGAAAAAAAAATTGTTTTTCTTTTATTACTTTTGTGGTAAAAATAATTACCACAACATTGATAAAAAAAAAACAACCACACAAATGATAAATGAATATAAGATACCAAAATTTTTGATATCGAAGACTTGTACCCCTCTTCTTCAAGAATTTTAGTGTGCCCTCGTGTTACTTTTCACCTATTTTTGAGCCATTTTCATCTGATATAGATAGATTTCCGGAGAATTATAATTAATTATTTTTTAATAGTAATTTACCCATGTATGTGAACAAAATATTTTACAACTCGTTATGAACTAGTTTACAATAGCTTTGACATTTTTTTTTTCTTCGTGTTCATGCTTACGTCGATTATTTTTTCAAATTCAATTATTGGTCATTGTAACTTAAACTGATCTAGTACACATCTTCAAAAGGATAATGTTAATCTATAATATAAAACAATGTAGACTTTAATAAGTTTATTTGACGATCTCAAATAGACTCATTTAACGACTATTAACATTCCTATCAAATTTATTCATATAAAATTTTTCTCCTCTGAATTTATCACTTCTTACTTATCGTATCTTTAGATGCGGGTTAACCCCTTAAGGGATGTCATGATGAACATATATGAATTTATGACAAACTTTTTCATCGTTCCTGGAATTTTCCACCAAACTTTGACGTTGAGATCTTACGCGTCCCTTGTTATATGTAAATCTAGAAAATCTTTTGTGGGCCCTCTAATTTGTTTTTCTTTCTCTTTAAACCTTTGATTCTGCAATATTTTTCTTCATTAACGGTCAACGTTTTGTCCTTTCTTCGAATTCAAGTTGAACGACAAATGAACAAGATGTAATAAGATTAATATTCTAGAGAGTCAATGTCTTTTTAACAAGTCATTTACAATGTGCAGAAGAAAGTCATCATTTAGAAGTTTTAGCAACCAATGTTGACATCAATTGTATTTTTTTTTTTATGAATAAATTATAATGATATTTTCTTGAATTTTTGGTTATATATAAAAATGATAATATAAATCGGGAAAAAAAATATCATGAAAAGAAATGATGATTGCTATTAAAGGATCGAAGACAATTATCGGAATCTTTGGTGAAAATTGTCAACCAAATCACCATTTTATTGTTACTTGATTGAGTTCAAACTTTAAATATAAATAAAAAACATTGCCAAACATGAAATTCAAAACTTATTTTTGGTTGAGATTAGCTTAAAAGTGATTTATATTAAGGTATATAGAACTAAGAGAATGTTAATATTATTTTTGAATATTAGGGGTGTTTGTATAAGTTTGTCAAAATTAAGAATGTCGATATAATTTATCCATCTTTTGATTTTGCGCTTTTTAAACTGACTACTTATTTTTTCTATTTTTTTAATAGATTATTTGCCATTAATGAATAGAAACCCACTTAGACATAATATGTCTCACTTAATTTCACATTAAGTAATACATCGAAGAAAAAA